AAGAATTTGACAAACCAGGAATTAGCCAATGGCTATGTCCAAAAACACTTATAGCGTGTACAGATAGCATCGTCAGAGCTACGTGTTACTTTGTTTAGACAATGAGTTGGTATTGGAGCCTCTAAAGTTGGCAGATGATTGTCACAGATAGCGAGAGAACGGAACAGCCGGAAAATGTAATGACAATTCAGAGGCTAATCAAGCCGCTTTAGTGTTTGGGTTACGAACACGGCACGATGAGCCAGCATAAATGTCTTTGTTGGTATGTCGATTCAACGCATTTCCCTGTTGGTTTGGTAAAGGTGACAGACACTTGGCAGAACTATTGCAGCCGCCCGATTGGATACGCGAATCAACAATGACAAACATACTATTCTTGCCGCCCCCGTGCTGCTGTTGTGAATTCCGGATCCCGATTTCCGCTGGCTGGGAGAAGCACAGCGGTCCTGGTCGGCTGCTGTCCGGTGTCGAACACTAATATGCGAAACTTGATCAACCTCGTTTCAGTAGAAACTATCTCCAAGGCTCTGAGTACCCGCTTGATGTTTATAAAGACAATTGCTAATGTACATGTGTATTTTGTTGATGGTGCAGGCAAGAAGAGTTGAAGCATGCCATCAAAGAAAGCCATCCTGTTCTTGTGAGGAATCTTGACCAGTGATGTGAGACGTCCTAAGAAGGTATCTAGCAACCCTCACAACAGCGAAAATTTCACCGATTCCAGCAGGTTTCTCGAACTGAAGCCAACATGGAGCTGGAAATCTCCAATGGGAATGCGCCAAGTCTGAGCATCAGTGTCCCAGTAGCTGCAGTCTCGACGATTCAACTCGAAAGCAACCTCGCGGGTCTCACCTGGACCCAGCTCAACTTTTGTGAAACCTCGAAGGGCCTGGACAGGCGTGCCAGAGGGAGCCGAATCAGTGGGCAGTGACATGTAGAGTTGAACAACGGTTGCGCCGCTTCGATCGCCGGTGTTCGTCACTTGAATCGTCGCGTTCGCCACGGGAAGGAAGAGGCCGCTCAGAGGTACGGACGACTCATTTGCAGCGCGAGCCAAAGGTGTCATCTTGGCTGTCAAAGCCTTAACTAAGAGCTCGGACGACAGGTCGAAAGTTGTGTAGCTTAGACCAAATCCAAACTCGAACAGCGGCTCGATCCCTTCGGCGTCGAAATGACGATAATCGATGTTCAGACCCTCGGTGAAGTTGGCCTGCCACGCATCAGGAGAAGACACTTCATCACTGGTCAGGTTCGTAACCGGGATATCATAGTCAGCTTCAGTCTTTGGAATGGTGTAAGGCAGTCTACCAGACGGGTTGACGTCGCCCCAGAGAACATCAGCGATGGAATTACCAGTCTGTTCGCCAGGCAGGTGAGCGGCGATGATGGCGCGAACATTAGGATGGCTGGCCCATGGCATGGTGTTGACACCAACGGAGTGGGTGATCACAACGGTATTGTTGCACATATTCGCAACCTGCGTGACCACTGCTGTGGAGTTCCAATCTGCCTCAAATGAGATACGGTCGAATCCCTCTGCGGCAAAAGTCTTGAGAAAGACTATGCATACATCGGGCACGGGGTAGATGCTATGAAAATCCCCAGCGGCGAGACGTTCATTGTTGAGGACGTATTGCACGCGAGCACCAAAGCCCTTGGCTCGCTCCTTGATGGCGTCCAGCGGGGTAACCACGTACGTATGGCGAACGCTGCTGGAGCCCCCACCAATGTCCAAGGTTCCGTACTCGAACCCGACGTTCGTTGCAGGAGGGTCTTGGTAGATCAAACCGTCCGTCAAGTCGCCAGCATCATTACCAAAGACTCCAATGTTCATAGGAGCCGTGAGAGGTAGCGTATTGTTGTTTTTGAGCAGGACAACACCAGCGGCCCCTATTTCTCGGATGAGCTTCGCGTGGTCACCGCGTACATCTCTGGCAGGAGTGTTGCTGACAAGATCTCCCAAGTTTTGTTGATACTGGGCTGCGATGACTGAGAGAGTTGAAGGATCTAGGCTCGGGAAGCTGCTATCATCTTGGCCCAGGAGGTAGTACTGGGTCAAGATACGACGGACCATCTCGTCTAGGCGATTTGTGGAAACGCTGCCATCTTGAACGGCATCTTTGACGTGGCTTCCGAACCATGAAGTACCTTGTCCAGGTACAGTCGTGCCAGGCATTTCCATATCCAGGCCAGCGTTAATAGAGGCCGCAGTTGAGTGTGTGGCATACAAGTCAGACACGGTGTATCCCTCAAAACCGAGCTCATCCCGCAGAATACCGGTCAGCAGCTTGGAATGCTCGCAAGTGTATGTCTGGTTGAAACGATTGTAACTACACATGACTGCGGCGGGCTTCGCGTTGATAGCATCCATGAAAGGCCAGAGGTAGAGCTCGTGAAGAGTGCGGTCGTCCATGTTGGTAGATATGGCGTCGATATTGGATCCATCGGGAAGGGTGACGTTAGTGCGTTGCGTTTCTTGCTCGTTGCCGATGAAGTGCTTCGCGATTGCCTGAACGCCCACGCTTTGGAGGCCGCGGATAGAGCGATCCATCGCGATGCCGGTGAGGTAGGGATCAGGAGAAAAGCCCTCCCAGACACGACCTCCAAGCGGATGACGGCCGAGTGGTCCAGCGACGGGACTTGAATTCAATGTATTAGCACAGTAATGCTTGATTCCATGAGAACGACAAGGATTACCCCAAACAAGCATGCATGCCCTTTGCTCGAAATTCTTCACCAATGGCCACCGCACGACGGTAAATCAAGTCTGCATCCCAAGTTGCGGCAGCCGTCAAACCAGCTGGAAAGACACTTGTAAGATCGGCGCGGTTTACACCAGACGAGCCATCTGAGTAACAGATGCCGGAAAAGTTGAGACGCGGAATAGCACCAATGCTGCCGATGCAACCAAGGCCGGTCAGCGGGTTCGCGCCGGTGATGACAGCTGTTTTCTCTTCGAGAGTAAGTTCTGCTATAATTGCCTTCGCCTTCGAAACAGCGGTGTTCCAGTCAACTTCATGACTGTTAGCTGCGACTTCCACCGCCTGTTTTAGTGCAATTTATCAGCTTACCAGACGTATCAGCCACAGCGGAGGCAAAGCCAGCGCAAAGTAGCGCGGGAAAGACAGTCGAACGCATCTCGGTGTTCTCAACGGCTCTGGGTGTAAGAGGTAGGTGAATTAGGGATTGAGATCGAACAAAAAAGGCCATTAACTGAAAGGAGGCCTTTATAGGCATTGAGCATCAAAACTACAAGCATCTACATAGGTGCATCGATTCCAAGTCAGTGAGCCAGGCTCAAGGTCTCTCCCTTCCTCCAAGTCTGCCTCTCCAAACAGCAGATACCGATCGTCGACCTAAGGGATCTCGGAATTGGTGGGCTAAATACACGTATCTGCGAAATTCGATCTACATTCCCCGAAATGGAAATATTTCGGCGTGGCCCGCAAAGTCCGGGCCCGGCATACACGTATTTCCTACACTGCCACATTCGGGCCGGTGCGAAGCATAAGGGGTCACGGCTTTCTAATGTTCCCTGCCAGATGCCTGGGGTGATAAGCTAGGACGCTGGCCAGAAAAAGATTACAACACTGACTTGCCTGCTGAATATTCCTAATGTTCTTAATTTTTTTATTCACATTGTTTCTACTATTGTTTCTTTTTCATCTGTTATATATTCATTAGAGAATACTCTTCAAATGAAGGCCAAAAATAGAGGTAAAAGGAATAGGAATAATAGGAAACGATCTAAGGAGGATGCCTATGCGGAAAATAACTTTCGTCGCCCCTTTGCCTGCCTCTGTGTTGAGTTAGGGGTACTAGAAATTGAATTATCCTGTAGAGACTGCGCAGTATTCTTGATGTAAAAACAGAAAAACACTTTTTGGAGACGTTTGTGTAGGGTGGACCTTGCAGTCAATCATCTCCGCTCACGCACCCTAGCACACCCACCGTACACCATACTTGATGATGATGTTGATGATGGGCATTATGGACAGTCAATATCCCTCAGGAAGTCGACGTCTACTGCCCTACGTTTTTAGGAGCTAGTGAGATACACGTATTTCGGGAGGCAGTAGTCTCTGGCTTGTTGCCTATCAAGTGTATGCAAATCGCTTGTTTTATGCATCGCCAATGACCCTCTTGACCTCGCGATTAGAATCAACTTAAGAACTCGCCTCGCCTACTTCGAAAACCTAAGATTGTTTTCTGCCCACCACCATTGCGAACTGTCACTACTTCAATTACATCTCTTTAACCAAACGTCTGCCTTATCCAATCATGTTCTCAAGCTTACTTCTCGCTGCCCTATCAGGAACGGTAGCTGCCACCTCTGTTGCCAACCCGGGAAACCTCACTCTCAAGTACTTGGAATCCCTGCCAACCTTGACTTCTGGGACGGAATGCGCTTGCAACCAGCTATCCAAGAAATTTGGAAATGCCCTCCTGGGCTTGAACTCAACCGGCTATACGACTCATGCCCAAGACTTTTACGACATTCGGGCAGTCCTTGAGCCAAGATGCATTTTCATGCCGACGGATGCGCAGCAGGTCGCCGCAGGCATCTCGATCCTTGCATCTTGTGGTGCACAGTTCGCCATTCGTGGGGGTGGTCACATGAACGTAAGCTATGATTGTCATTGCTGCTGTTGTTCTCCTAATCTTGTGCGGTACTAACAAGACTTCTTGTTCAGTTTCCGGGTTCCAATGACATAGACGGCGGCGTCTTACTTGCACTTAACCTCCTAACCGACATCGAAATAAGCCCCGACAATTCGACTGTCAGTGTCGGGCCCGGAAACCGATGGGTAGATGTCAGGCAACTTCCCTCTCGCCTAATTTTTCTTGGCATCTGCTGTTAGTGAATGAGTGAGCCTACCACCAAATTACTAACAGCCGAAAACTCTTCACCTCCCCTTGCCGGAGCCCGCATCCGCGATGGCCTCACAGCCGCCGTCGGGCACCGGACTGATGTCGGCCGACCAAGCCGACCCCGAACCAGGCTCCGGGACACCTCCGGAGCCGAACCCCACCTCAAGAGCTAAGCGACGCCGCGACGCCGAGGCACAGCCGACCCGGCCCAGCCTAACGGGAAGCCAGCTTGATGCCACCACCGACGCCCCTACCTCGGCCGAGGGGCCCGCAGCCTCTACCGCATCTGCTCCGAGCGGATCTGCCACAGGGTCCGTCTTGACAGCCCTTGCAGAAGAAGCTAGACAGTACGAGGCACGGAAAGACGTCTTTCTGACCATTGCACGGTCCGTCGACAGCGTTGTCGCCAGCTTTGACGGTTCTAGAAAGCAGATCGCGAAAGAAGCCACTGCCTATGTCATTCAAACCCTCAAGAGACTGATCAATCACGAGACAAGCCCAATAGCGGCCCGGAGTTGGGCGGCTGTCGTCGCACCGATGGCGGGCAACACCACTGCGGCGACCCGG